CACACACAGCAGCATCCAGCCCAGGGCTCAGAGAGTGGGCTGCAGACACAAGGAAAAGGCCAAGGGAACTTGGCAGCGGCCTGGGAGCGGCTTGGAGCAGCTCCGGCTGCAGACAGGCCTCCGGCAGCTCCGCTACCTGCAGCGCCACCTGCTGGCTGCCTCGGGGTCTGTGGGCTGGGAGAGGCTGGGAGAGCCGGCGGCTGAGCCCCAGCGCAGGATGTCTCGAGGGCAGCAAGGGAGCCGACGCCAGCTTCTAGTGATAAAATGAAAAAGACTCTAGAGAGAAGCCTCAAGGCGGTGGAGCAATGAAAATCAAGCCCTAGAGTATTCAGTCACAAAAGTTCTGATTCTTTGCTCAGTTCATAAAGTTAAGCAATTATCCAAAGCCACCAGGTCCACGACACAATGGGGAAAAAAATGGTAAGAGAGGATGAGCTGTCGAGTAATGCAAGAACATGTCAAGGCTCGTCCTGGGCGTCCCTCTTCTCTCCCTGGGCTGGGTCATCCACCCCACAGCTTCATTAGGCACCAAAGCTTCCCATACTCCCATCTGCAGCCCAGATCTCTCCCAGCTCCAGACCCCGAGATCCAGCTGCCTGGTGTCATCCTAACTTGGATATCTGAAATAGCAGGAGTCCTTATCATAATAACCCTAGTCAAAATAACTTGGCTCCAAAATTTGCTTGTCTGTAGAACCAAATTGTAAGGAGAGCAGAGGTGGAGCTGGGCTATTTGTTGAATGAATGAAAGAATGTGAAAACATGAAAGAGATTATTAAGAGAAGGGGATGGGAGCTAAGTCTTGGTGAGTACCAAGACTTAACTTATTTAATCAGACAAGACTAACTGTCGAGGATGAGGGATGGGAGCTATGAAGTTTACCTGAAGTCACACAGCTAGTCCAGGAAAGAGTGGAGGGTCCTGTCTGGCTCATTCCACTGCCTCTAGTTCTTAAATCAGAATAATAGATTTAGGGCCTATGATTAAACATAGGGGCTTCAGAGACTTTAGAAGTCATTTCATTCACTGCATACTCGATGCTTGAATCTCTCTCTTCTCATCCCAGCCGGGTAGTTGGGTAGCTTCTGCTTGAACACCCCTCATGATGGGGAACTTACTCTCAAGACGATGATTTTATTATTGCATCATACAGTAAATTAGAAAGTTGAGCCAGAATTTTTCTTGCTTTAAGATTGAATAACGTAATATGTGTAATGTGCCTACCGTAGTGCCTGCAAACATCAATAAATGCTATCATGGTCTCCACTTCCCTTATTACAACTCTTCTTGAGTCTGTCTTTCCCTTGGGATACCCAAAAACAAATATAATTCTTTTCCCAGAGACAGCCCTTCTTATATATGAAGACAGTGCTTCAGGGTCCCCCTGAGGCATTGCTTGCCCAGGATAAACAAATACTCCAACCTACTTTCAGACACTCACTGCTAGGCAAGAGCTGATATGTACACGCTGTGATTTTCCAGCTGCTGTGGGGTGTGAGGCTTCAGAAAAGCTGATGGAACAAAGGATGAGCCAGCCACAGCAGGGTAGCCGTGGTATCTGAACCATGACCTCTGCAAAAAAAAGGAAGTGGTTGACCCCCAATAGGCCTTGGCTCATCCATCACCAGAGCTTCACCAGCTAAACTCTTGGCCCACCCATTATGGGTACTTGTTTTAGTAGAAGAAAAAGAAATGAGTGTCCCCTAAAGTTAAAATACATCATTATAGATCCCCAGCTTTTCCAAAAGTCACTGTTGGTCCTTCCCAAATCCAATTAGTGTGTTTATGGATGTTGAGCAATGTAGGAGGCCTCATCCATTCACATCATGGAATATCAACCCCCAAATCCTTCCTATTTACAGATGGGGAAAGTAGGTCAGAGAAGAGCAGTGAATCATTCAAACTCATACAGGAGATTCGTGGAAAGGCCTGGTCAAGTTCTAAGGGAACCCTGGAGGCAGGGCTCTGGCAGAAGGCAGCAGTCATTAAGCTACAAAGGCACAAGCCAGGGTTCAGCGTTGCCAGAAAGGTTGAAAATTGGGGGGAAATATCCTAGAAAGGAGAGACCCACAGAGGGGGAGCTCCAAAATTTTTATATAAAGTTCCTTAAAATCATAGACTGAACCTTGAACTTCACATAGGGAGGGGTGACACTCCAAGAAGTCCAGGACAATCGTTGAAAGAGCTGGGCAGTAATTTCAGCAGCTGCCAGTGTGGGGGAGACAGACTTTGTAATTCAAGTCTCGCCAAGTTGCACTTGATAAACACCTCAGGCTTTCCATTGAAATCCCAGAGGTGTCACATCAGTGTTTCTCTCTCACACTCTCTCCCTTCCTCCCTCTCTGAAAGCAATAAAAACATATTCTCAGGTGGGGATTCAGGGTTTTTTTTCCATAATAATAATTACTTAAAGAGGTATAAATCAAAAGACAATAGAGGAAACGGAATTAACTACTAAAACAATAGTCAATTAACCCCAAAGGAATCAGGAAAGAGATAGCTAAGGAAGAAATAGCAGTAGGAACAAATAGGAAATAAAGCAAGGTAATGGGTTTCAACTCAATGGTATTGAGAATTACTTTAAATTTAAGTGGATTAAATCCTCGGCTATTGTCAGATAGGACAAAATAGCAGCACTCTAATGGGTTGTTTACAAGAGATTAGCTTAAATATATAAATATTCTGACGGTTTAAAAGTAAAAGGAAGGGCAAAAAATGGGGAAAGTTAAACAGTAAGCATAAGATTTATGCTTTTCTATTTCTGCCTTGTGCAAGTTTTGTTAAGTTGGGGGGAGGGGGGTGTTTTTTCAAGGAAATTGTGCATTTCATCCAAGTTTTTTAATTTATTAACATAAAGTTTTATGTAGTAGTTGCTCATCATTTTTGAAATGTCTGTACGATCGGTAGTGATATTCTCTCTTTCATTCCTGATATTGGTACCTCGTGTTATCTTTTTACTTATTGTTACTGATTTTCTTTTCTTTTTTTAAATATATCTTTATTGATTTCAGAGAGAGGAAAGGAGAGGGAGAGAGAGAGATAGAAACATCAATGATGAGAGAGTCACTGATCTAGCCCACAACCCGGCATGTGCCCTGACCGGGAATCGAACCCCGATCGCCTGGATCCTAGGTAGATGCTCAACCGCTGAGCCACGCCCGGCAGGGCCTGATTTCTAATTCAGTTGTGCTTTGGTGAGAAAACACACTCCCTACAGTTTCACTTTTTTTTTTAATTTATTGAGATTTGTTTTATGCTCCAGCATATGTTGTATCATGGTGAATATTTCACATTCACTTGAAAAGTACGCGTATTCTGTAATTGCTTGTATCGTGCTTTTTAAAAGGCATCTGGGTCTCCCAGCCGGCCACGGAGCAGCAGTTGAGCATCGACCTAGGATCCCGGCGATCTCGGTTCGATCCCTGGCTGGGGCAGGTGCCTGGGTTTCAGGCTCGATCCCCAGTGGGGGGCATCACGCACGAGGCAGCCCATCAATGACTCTCTCATCACTGATGTTTCTCTCTATCTCTCTTTCCCTCTCCCTTCCTCTCTCTGAAATCAATAAAGATATATTTTAAAAATAAAAAATTTTTAAAAAGGCAACTGGGTCAAGTTGTTTGATGGTGTTGCTGACTTTTTGTCTACCCATCAGTTACTGAGAGGGCCAAGCTGACGTTTCTAACTATGGCTGTGTCTACTTCTCCCTTTAGTTCTGTCCAGTTTTGCTTCATGTGTTTATGGAACTTATCTTTAGGCAATACCTATTTAGAATTATCATTTCCCCTTGATGGATGGATCCTGTTATCACCGGGAAATAACCCTCTCTATCTCGTGCAATATCTTTGTTTTGAAGTTTACTTTCTGTAATAGACATTTTGTTGAGCAAAGGAAGCCAGACACAAAAGAGCACATGGGTAAGTCTTCACCTATATGAAATTTGAGAACAGGCAAAGCCAAGCTAACAGCGAGTGCCTGGGCGGGTGAGAGGCTGACTGGAAAGGGACAGAAAGGAACATTCTAGGGTGATTAAAAATATCTTATATCTTTAACTTATTGATTTGAGAGAGAGAGATTGAACTGTTGTTCCACTTAGTTATGCATTCGTTGGTTGATTCTTGTATGTGCCCTGACCGGGGATCGAACCTGCAGCCTTGGTATATCGGAACAACGCTCTAACCAACTGAGCTACCCAGCAAGGGCAATAATGTCTTATTCTTGATTGAAGTGGTAGTTACATAGGTGTATACATTTTTCAGAATTTGTTGAACTATGCACTGAAAATGTCTGCATTTTATTGTATTTTTTTATTCTTAATTTTTTTTTTTTTAAGTGTAAAGGACTTGGCTTGGGGCTTAACACATAGTAAGTGCTCAACAACCATTAGTTCCCTCACCCTTCACCCTCTTCATCTTCAGGAGGTAAGTGCCATAGGTGTTAGGACAGTTTATGGTCATTGAACCTCTGAGACTAAGTGACATGTTCCCCAAAAGAGTTTGTCCACAGCTTACACCCGGGAGCTGCTCTAGTCAGGAGGATCATAAATAACAGTGTTTATGCCTAAGGCCATTTCATCTCAAACCTTCCCACAGGCTTCGTCTAGGTCTCGGGTCCCAAGTCAAGAGGGTAGAATTTAACTGGGTCCTTCCAAGAGACAGGAGATGACAAAGTGTGGAAGCGGCAAGACATGTGCCATGTGTGAAAGGCTCTGCGAAGATCAGCATTTCTGGAAAGGTTGTAAGAGATAATATAGGAAAACTAGTGTTAGAGTCACATGTTGCAGGCATGTGAGGTCAGTGGAGTTTAGATCGTCATATAGCAGATGCTCAATAATTGTTTGTTGACTGAATAAGTGAGTGAAGGAGACACTGAGTCCATCGAGGCTGAACCTTCCTGTCTTGCAGCTCACATACCTGCCCCCGCCATGGGGCGAGTGCCGATCATCAGAGATGGGGCTCGACTTCTTTCCTGTTTACAGTATCACCGCCTGCAGGATCGACTGTGAGACCCGCTACATCGTGGAGAATTGCAACTGCCGCATGGTCCACATGCCAGGTCAGTGCCAGGGGAGGGGCGGCCACAGGGCCCCACCAGGGACCGCCTGGGACCTTCTTTGCATTTCTCACCCTAATGGAAAACACTTGGCCTACCCCATGAGCATCCAAAGGGCTGTTATTTGGTGCCCAAACATTTAGAGGGCAGACAGAAACATTCACTCTAGTAACCAAGGCAGCACCCTGGTGTTCACAGCATCCAGATGTTTGGAGAACATTCCTCCCAGTGTTCGATATGTTTGCTAACTGCTGTGTCCAGTTATCTGGCTGCTTGCAATCGTTGCATCCTGGTGGTACATGTTCACACATCCAGATGTTTGTTGCTTTCATCCAGATGTTTATTTTCTTCCAAAAGTCCAGCACCCTTTCAAATGAGGCCAAAATCCACGGACCAGCAAGTAAATGTGCGTCTGCAGACATATATCTTGTCAGACTTACAGTGCATGTGGCCATCTCATCAGAGGCGGTCTGCATGTCAGAGGCAGACTTGAGGAGGACACGGGGGCTAATTTGGGCAGGAAGGATGACTGGGGCTGGAGGCAGGGGCCTCAGCTTTAATTCAGGTTCCTCCACTCACCTGCTGTGTGACCTGGCCCAAGTTTCTAAACCTCTCTGTTCTCACCTTCATTATCATTAAAACAAAAACATTAGTTGTTATGAGGATAAAATTAGGCTAAGACATCAAAATGCTTTTTATATTGCAAAAGTCAGTGGTGGTTGTGTTAGCAGAGGAACTGAAAGTCCTGTTGACTAAAGACCTACTATGTGCCAGGAAGTTTGCTGTCATATTTAACAGCTACTATTTCATGTTTATAGCATGCTTTAGTTAAGCATATTTCACGAAATCCTTATATTGAACATTTAGTTCATTACCAGTTGTTTTCTAATATTAACCAATCCTCAAATGAACATCCTCACAGCTAAATTCTGAAGTATTTCATTAATAATCAGTAATTTATTTAGTAATCTAAGATTAGAATTATTGATCTTTAAAATTGCCTCTGAGGCCCTGGCCGGGTAGCTCAGTTGGTTAAAGTGTCGTCCTACTACTCCAAGGTTTTGGGTTCAATCTCTGGTCAGGGCACATACAAGAATCAACCAGCCCTGGCCAGTTTGGCTCAGTGGTTAGAGGTTTGGCCTGCAGATTGAAGGGTGCCGGGTTCGGTCCAGCCAAGGGCAGATACCTCAGTTGCAGGCTCAGTCCCCGGCCCCCATCAGCATGCGAGCAGGAGGCGAGCAATCAATGTGTCTCTCTCACAGTGATATTCCCCCCCTTCTCAAAATCAATAAATAAAAAAATCTAGAAATAAATAAAATAAAATTGCCTCTGAGCTGCCTAGAAGACAGAGCAAAAAGGAAAACGTGTCATTGAATGATTATTATTGGAAAAGAGGGAGCATAACAGCCCCTCAGTTCTTGAAAAGAAGTATTTGGGGAAATGGTGAGGAAGAGACATCGCAATGGACTTTCACTTTAGCACTTGGTGAAAGAGAAAACAGTAGGTCCTGGACTTCTGCAAAGATGTGCCAGAAAGGCCAGAAGAGCAATAGTTAATGTTACCTGCCTGCTGCTCGCACTGGGCCGCCAGCCAGGGAGGTTTGCCTCATGGAGCCTAAGCTAAAAGCAAGCGGCGGAAATTTCAATCCTTCCACCCAGGACACTGGCACTGGCATCTCCATGACTAACGTGGAGCTAAGGGCACAGCAGAGAGGGACTTACAAAGCAGCCCTCCTCACATGGCACTGTGGTGTGGAGGAAAGGGCCCCAGCCTCGGCTCAGGCCGGCCTGGGGTCAAAGCCCGCCCCGTCCCTGCCGTGCTGGTGTCCTGGGAAGCAGGGCAGCGTTTCCTACCGCAGACGGTGCCCACGTGAGTTAAGGATCTGACCCCGCCCAGCTCCGAGCTCACCTCCCCCCACCGTCGGCCAGCAAGGCTTTCTCACCCGTCAGCAGCCCAGCGGTCAGGGAGGGTCCTGTCGTCGCCTGCTCAAGGTCACCGAGCAGACGGGAACCCAGTCTTCTGGCTCCGGGTACCCTTCTCCCCCGGCGCTCCCAGGCTGCCCTGGTCGAGGTTTCCCTTCCGACTGCCACAGGCAGACCGCTGCCCCGCCCCTAACGGGGTGCCCCCCTGCCCGGCCCCTGCCCGGCCCTGCCCCAGCAGGGGAGGCTTTGCTGCCTGAGTACCTCTCCCTGTGTTTCTCCTTTGCAGGCGATGCCCCTTTCTGTACCCCTGAGCAGCACAAGGAGTGCGCAGAGCCTGCTCTCGGTCAGTACTGGGGACACGTGCAGTGATGGGGGGCCTGAGATCACATGTCCTGGTGTGGCAGAGAGACTGGGCG